ATGGTCCAAAAGGAGCAGAGCCTCCGACGCAGATGAGAATGTTAGCAGTTAACAGTGTTTGCTGGTAGCCATAGATAGCAAAGGTGTCAGAACTCAGAACTCTCACTCTGATGGTAAATAAGTACACTATATATATATATATATATATCAATATTTAATACTACTTTATATATACATATATAGTTAAAACAAGAAATACAAATTTATTTACATTAAAATGTTTTGTTTTCATTGTGCGTATGGATTAACAAAGGAATAACTTTCTGATATTTTTCTCTTTTGAGTTTGATGGATTTGATCATTTGTGTGGGGACAGCTCAAATCTGCAGTATCATTGACTCCAGCTACATTCCCATGAAGGGACCAAATAATTAATTAAAAGGACAAATTTTGAAATGAAATTTCAATTATACACCTATGAATCAATTTGGAATCAAAGAAAAGTATATAAAAAGAATCAATTGGGATTCAATTTTGATATGAAATTAAAAAGAAAGATAACTTTGGAAATGATCATGGAAATAAATGATATGTATTAATCAATGATGTAGCATATATACATGGTATTTGGCTTTGTATTGGGAAATGGTAAAAAGAAAATATTAGCAATAAAAATGGTTTGAAGATTTTAATAATAAAACCTTTTTCCAATCCCCAAAGGAAAACAGCCCCAAAGAAAAAAAACAGAAGGGAAAACATTCATCCTGTCATCAAATTTAAAGGCGCACGAGGAGACTGGTGTTGCTAACGTACACTGGGGAGCGCACTAAGCACCAGCTACAGCACCATTAATAGTGGTAGTAGTAGTTTGTTCCACGCCTACACTTTTGCTGTTTGTTCGCCCATTTCTTACTACTTTTCAAAGTTTTCTATTTTCTTTTGTCTTTCTTCTTTTCGGTTCTTTTGCTTTGGTGAGTGGTGTGAGAGCAAAGCACAGCAAGCACTGACTTTCCTTTCTCCAGGACAAGACTGAGAAGAGAAATCAAGATTAAGAGGTATGGTATGAGTGGAAAAGCATGATGGAATGGGAGAATCAAGAACAGCAGCAGCAACATCAACAAGAGAATCAAAACCAGAGAGAAAGTGTTAATGTGAATGTGAATAATGGAGGAGTAATGTATGTCAAAGTGATGACAGATGAGCAGCTGGAGACTCTCAGGAAGCAAATTGCTGTTTATGCCTCCATTTGTGAGCAGCTTGTTGAGATGCATAAGAACCTCACTGCCCAGCAAGATCTTGCAGGTCTCTCTCTTTCTCTCTTCTCCATTCCGTGCATATGCATATGAATATGAACATACATCATGCTCAACTTTTCAGGGTCCGATATGATTCATACAGGCTCGTCTCCTACTGATGTCTCTTGTGTGGAGGCATTTAAAGTTTGCTCATTTATGGCTTCAGCCGTGGCCTTTTCTGTTCCTTTTTTGTCATTATCTAAACGGGATATTGCTTGTTTTCCAAGGTCTTTTCTCTTTTCCCTTTCTGGGTCTTGCTTTTGTGATTTCCAATTATGCAAGGCTACTTAATTGTGCCCTTGATTACATATGTATACCAGTTTCTGTGTATCTACCTTGGCTGTTCTGCTCCTTGGATCTACCCTTTTTGGGAGTTGCTCCCTGTCAAGTGTCATCGAATGGCAGGAGACGTGTGAATTTTCTTCTGTTTGAGCTTTTGGTTTCTTCATTTTCAGGGCCTATCTTTTTCTTGTTTAATCGTATACCTTCTCCGCACAAATTAACACTGCTTCCTTTATTAAATGATCTGCTCATGGTGGTCAATTTCGTGTAATGATTTGGGTGGTTGATTCGGATCATTCAAGGTTTTTCTATCTTGTAATTGCTTAATCTTTAATCCCTCTCTTTTATTCCTGAATAAGCTAAATAAGCGACCAACTGACCATTGATGCTTCTCTGTATTCCAATTACCAACAATATATCTAAAAACCTACTTTTCTTTCTTTGTGAGAAATCTACCTAACTTTAGGAGCCACTGTATGAGAATACAGACAAAATCTAAACAATGATTTGTCAAGAGTATCGGTGGGAGCCATTAATGCAAATAACTATCAGCTCTTTCTGCTCATGTTATTGTTCTGAATTATCTTACGGCATGGAATTTCACTGGTGAACCCTTTTACTAACAAATAATGGCATCATACAAGTCTTGTTATCCTCATTTTTTTGGTATATTGTGGCATTGAAGTGATGAAATCGAATATCGTGATTTCTGTTGCTGTTGATGTTGTTGAATCTGTTTAGCTTTTGTAATAATAAAGCAGGAAAACATTGAAACTTGATGGCTTTTGAATTACTGAAAACCAGTAGTGTAGTTTAAGCTGTCTCAAATGCTTGAAATTGTCAATTGTGACTGCAAATATTTGATTCCCAACTAGAACCTATCTTGGTAGTTGCTGATTGGCAATTTCTTAGAATGTTAAGACTCCATATTGGCTATTGAAAATCTCAAAACTATCATCTCTCACGCAGGTGGCAGGCTGGGAAATCTCTATTGTGACCCTTTAATGACATCTGCTGGGCACAAAATTACTGCTAGACAGCGGTGGACTCCGACACCTGTGCAGCTTCAAATTCTCGAACGAATCTTTGATCAGGGGACTGGAACTCCAAGCAAGCAAAAGATCAAAGAGATAACCTCAGAACTGAGCCAGCATGGCCAAATATCTGAAACAAATGTCTATAACTGGTTTCAAAATAGACGGGCTAGATCTAAAAGGAAGCAACTTGTTTCATCCTCCAACAATGCTGAATCAGAAGTGGAGACAGAAGTTGAGTCACCAAATGAAAAGAAGACAAAGCCAGAGAATCTTCTCTCCCAGCAGAACCCTGCACCAAGGGCTGAAGATCTGTGCTTCCAGAACCCAGAGATAACCTCTGAACTGCATTTCTTGGGTGTACTGTCTAATCCAAATGCATACAATGGTTAGCATCTGGACTTCTCCTTATCTTGCTATGTAAATTAAAACTTTTTGATGCTGGTAGAAGGATCCTGAGATGCCTGATTCTGACATACTTATAAGTGAAGGAAGAATGTCTCGTTCACCATTATTCTTTGAAACTTAGTCTTTTTATCCTTCTAAATTTCCATTTTCCACTAGCACTGATGGTTTATGATCAGTAGCATTTTCTCTTCAGGAAGGCCTATTGTAAGACTTAATTCGACAAATCTAAATGATACTACAGTCGCTATACCTGAGGCTTCATTGAATGCCTTCCACCTATAGTTAAAATTATTCCTCTAGGAGTAAGATATGTTTTATTAGTGCTAGATAGTAATGGTACTGCAGATTCCAAATAGCAGTGAACTTATCTCATCCCCATTTAATTGATGCAGGAGATGACCATCTCTCTGGAAAAATGGGAATGCCTGGGAGCTACAACATTTATGACCAGGCAGAAGACTACAGCATGGCAGGGTGAGAGTCACCTGTGTCCACCTCTGCCAGTTTGTCAATATTTTTGCTGGAAGCACATGGCGGTCCAAGACTTCGGTTGTTGGACTTGGATGAGACAAAAGAATTCGGCCTAATCATGGAACCATAGCACGCCTGACATAGTCAATGCTAATACTTCTAGTTTGAACATAAAATGAGCTGGTTAAGTTGGAAATGGACTTGCTAGTATGAATTCTGAATTTTAGTCTGCCTTTGTGCTTTGACTTTTCTTTATGGCTATTTTGTTAATAGAAAGAACTCCACGCATGTTTTGGAAAGTTGTTCATGAAATTATGGTCATGCTTGATCTTGTTAGACCAGATGATTCTTTAATTGGGTATTTGTCTCCAATGGCCAAAGAATGCAGAAAGCATTCCAACCAGAGGCTTGTAACAACTTCTGTAAGTTTTGGGTTCAAACTAGGAGCAAATCTCAAAGGATAAAAACTAAAGTTTCAAGGTCATGCAACGCCAGAAAAAAGCTCATTGATAAGCATGAAAATATGCAAACCAATATCCAGGTAAGCATCAAGTGGTAAGCAGGACCTGACAAAGCAGAAGCAGAGTTAAAGCTTTAGAGCCAACCACCACAGCCAAGTTGCGGGGGCCCGGGCGAAGTGATGCTTTGATTTGTGAATGATTACTGGGGAGCCCATTTCTAATGATTGTGCTTAATTTCAAAAGGTGAAATCAAATTTAGCTCTAATCATAAAAGGCAAAAATTATTAATCATATTATTAGCACTTAAATATCTCTAACCTCCACCTGGGCTTGACCCAAAACGCCTTTTTTTTTTTTTAATCTTTTTGATGCAATGAAACCGCATAAAGTTTAAAAAAGTTTCATGATTATCTCCGGGGTTTTCTTTTTTAGAACAAAAAACAAAGAAAGGTCTCAAGTGATGGTGATTTGGGTATTACAGTTGTTTAAGTTAAAATGATGCAGTAAAATCTTTTACAAGGCGGAAAAGGAAAACAGAAAGATCCCTTCTTTCTTTAACCACCGCTCAACGGATTGCCTCCTCCTGCCGCCACCCATCGCCGCCGCGGGCTCATAGTTGACGTCACCCCCGTTTTCCCAGTTTGAAGAATTGATGTAGCTCTTTTTTTCAAAGATTGATTTTTTTTTTTTTGCAGAAAAAGATGGGAAAGATCTCAGTAGCTGATTCTCGATATAGTTACACAAACGAGGGTGAGTGGCCTTCTGGGTCAGTCGATATTCACCATGTCGTTGTTCGAAAGAGTTTTCCGAGAAAGGCTTTCTTTGTAGCCAGTCTTCTTCTACCAGTTGCCTGCTATTTCTTCTCTCTCAGGGTACTCAAAGCTCGTCTCTTTCTTCTTTCTGAAATTAAATTAGTTTCATGTTCATATGATTAGGAATCAATTGGCTGTCTTTTCTTTCATACTATGACACATTGGGAAGTAAGGATGATCAATCATATGAATTTCGGGTACTAGAAATTTTTCTGTTTGTAGTGTTAAAATGGGATTTTCTGTTTGATGAGCAGCATTCCCTCATACAATGACTGTATGAAATAACAGGAAAATTCCGCCACCTTTCTTTCGTGGAGCTTTGTGCTGAGTGGACTTCTTGCCATATTATTGCTTTGGAAGCCTGTTGATAAAGGTGAGAGCCTTTCGAGCTGGTCATCTTAGTCATCTGATGTGCTGTTGTCTCAATTTCAAACAAGTACAAGAGATTGATGCTTCATCATTAGGATTATCAATTAGTTTCTTTTTATCTTTGTGCTGAAGTTTTGTGTTTTAAGCTTTCAGAGTCTGTCATCATAATGCCAGCCTTTGGAGTTCAGCTTGAAACGCACTATTCAAGGTAACTTCTAAGAAGTTCTAATTCACCAGAATGAACGTATTTAGATGCTTGTTTTATGGTATACTGTCAATATAGGAAAATTGATGACCAAAGACTTTTCCTGACTTGATTTCTTATTGGGCACATAAGACTGTAATGTAAGAAGGGAAACATTTACTGTTTCTCTGTTTCACAAATTGGTGTTCTTGGTTGTTGTTCAGTATTAGGCTTCAGTAGTTCTTTCATCCAACTTCTGCATTTGACTTTGTTCTCTCCTGGACTTGGCAGTGTTTCTTAGGATACCTTTTATTTCGATAGACTTGGTCATTCTCCTCTCTTACTTTGAAGAGAAGCTAGCTATTGGCAAGAACCTTGACTAATATTCATGAATAAGACCTTCAGATGTATTTAGTCAGACTTTTACAAAAAATAGTAGTGGTAATAGCATTATTACCAATGTTGATTTTTCATCTTCTTTTGTTTACTTGTAGTGGAAGAGTCATCCGCAGATTTATTCCTGCTGGTGAGATTTTGAAACCTGTATTGGTAGAATGCGTTACCCCAGTAACTTGTTACTGGAGCCTCTCTTTACTTTTACGTGGTAAGGAAGAGCTGATGTTGGTATTCAAGGTAAACAGCCAAACTTGTTCATTTTGATCTCTTTTACTTCCTTCAGAAAATTTGGGGGGGCATACTGCTGGCATGCTAAACGGGGTGGTCTATCACTTATTGGCAAGATATCAAGTAAATGGGAGAATTGATTGGGAAGTGTGTATGTATTTGCATGTGTTGTCGTATACTTGGTATAGTTATTTTGGTAAATATACTAATTGAGTTGTGAAACTTGATTTCTTTGTGAAGGAGCTACGCCCTCCAATGAAGATGTTGCTTCCCGTATGGAAGGCCTTGTGTGCTAGCATTGAGAACAAAGAAAGTCGAGTCGCATGTAGTGAAGGTGGTTGATGTCGTGGCCCTGGCGACATGTTGTGGAGACAGTGAAAATGCATTCTCGTCAGAATTGAAGGAACAAATCCATACCAGCAGAGATTATCACCAAGTTTTCTGTCTGACTATTGCAAATTGAATTTGTGCGCAAGGAAAGAGCCAATGAATGCAGCAAAGATAAGAAACGCTTATAGCTGCTGTAGGATCAGACTTAATGGCTCTTATCATACTACATTTTGACCCCAGTGTATGTACTGAGCACGTTTAACAGTATTTTCGTTTTTAAGTTACTGATAATAACATTCGGCCATTGATTTTCCTTACGGTGGCAAGAGAGAGAGAGAGAGAAAGAGGGCGCCAGCAATTGAGCCCTTGGAAATTAGAACACCAACGGCAAATTGCCTCCAGAAAATTAGCAATATAAAATGTTTGTTGTATTATTATTATTATGTGCAAATTCCTGTAAAGACAGACAGAATCAGTAAATGGGTCGTATAAGCCCCCTATCAAGTGGGATGATCCACCACCAATTATCAGTTGCTTTAGAATACATCAGAGAAAGAAAGAAATGAAGAGTGATCACCCAAGGAATTTGTCAATTATCCAAGGATAATGCTTCCGTCATCGATGCTAGCTTCTCGCAGGCTTGAAATCAGGGAGGCATACTCAAAACACTCGCTGTGATGTGGGTTGCCGCATCAACTCAGTTTAAAAAGTGAGTTTGGTTTGTCATCAGCTAACCTCCAGCTGCACTTAAGCGCAAGCTGGCTCGTTCAAGGGTGACTCTGTGTCGACATAGCCCGTGCCACAATTCCCTTGGACCATCATCCGTTATTTGCATTTTAGCTATCAGCCTGTGCAATGTCTCCAAATTCACAACCGGGACAGTGGTTGGTCGCCCATGAGCACACTGCATAGCAAAGTTTTCAAAGTTATTCGGCAAGGCAGCAGGAGGATCTCTCTCTCTCTCTCTCTCTCATATGTGCAAATGCATTCACACCTACACAAAATATCAGCAGCCAAATCTGCAAAACATATTTCTATATTTACATTTAACTCACTTGGAAGCACAGGGACGTCTGCTTCAGCTCTTCAACAATTAAGGAACATTCTGAAGGTAGCAAGGAGTCCCCAAACATAATTGCACCTTAACAATGAAAGCATGACATGAAGATACTCAAGTTAGACAACTTGGGATGAAGCACAAGATATCATCCAAGCACAAGTTCTAATGCTAAACTATTTTAATGAACACTATGCAAGTAGATATATATATATGGAACTTAAAAATGGATTTTAGACCGAAAAGACTCCTTGATACCTCCACAGCTACAACAGAGAAGCCTTCACTTAACCTAACATTGGTGCATGTGGAAGTGTTTGCTCAGACAATTATCGCACAAATCACTGTAACTATGTATTCATAAAGCATAAAATTTCTTCCCACATGGATAAGATTCAAATGTAGTTCACAAATTTACCACAAGGATGTGGGATTAGGCATATACCTCTGCATGCTTTAGAATTAAGAATTCGAATAATAGATGGAGGCATTGTTGATGATCCATCTGTATCAGCAAGCTACGTATTGTAAATACAAACTAGAGTTAGAAATTATATACCTTTAACCCCAAGAAAAAGGATAGGTAGAAGAAGTAGGATTGTCAAGTTCTAATAAGTAATGAACAATGTACCTGTTGTAGAAATTCCAAGAGATCAACATGAGATAAATTGACACCTAAAATGCAGGGTACCTGCATGTTATCCGAATAAAATTTTATTGAGATCAAAGTTGACCAGAACAGAAAAGCAGCTTGAAATTGCACCATAAGCAAACAAAGATAAGGAAAATATTTCTAAGGAATCAAACAGATAATTTTGACCCAACATCCTTAAATAAAAAGGTGCAAGTAAAGCTCATGCAAAAAAAAAAAAAAGTGGGGATGGGGGGTTAGTTTGCCACCATGTGTTTAAATAGAAATGTAATGGAGCTTAACTGCAAGAAGTTTGATAACAGCCGGCTTAAGACGAATAAGGTTCAAATTCCTGCTTGGCAATCAAATTGTGAAGCAATCAGAAAATTTAATAAGAATATTAGCAATGAATATCAGAAGATAACAGATGAACATTAAGGAATAATATGCGTATATTGAAACTCCTGCCAAACATCTTTACAGCGTATAGACATACATCTTTGAAAACAATGTTTTTGCCACCAAATCCACATCTAGGATTCATTTACCACACGGAAAACTATATGAGCATAATATTCCAAGAAAGAGGAAAAGAAATTACTTCTTGAAGGGCTTTGAATCTTGGGTGTGAATGTCACAGATCCAACCCCAATTTCTTATTTGTTCAGAATAATTGTGCAGTAACTGGTACCCAATCTCTGGCAGGATCTGTTGTTTGACAACTAATGAGTTAACCCCAGAATCACAAAAAAACAAAAACATTGCAAAGGTCCCCGAGTAAAGCTTCACATAGCACAAGCATACCAGCTCTTGCTCTGCATCCAAATAGGTGACTGTCTTCCCTTCCCCAGATAAAACCTGGGTTTCAACTTGTCAAATTAGTAATGAAAAGCACTACTTCCACAAAATTTGTACTCGAGAATATTTTTACCTGTTGTCGAAGTTCTTCTAGTCGAATTCTTTCATCTGCCGCATGCTGCAGAAGAGAACAATAATAGGAGTTAATCACACTGCCCAAATTTCAATAGCATTTATGTGGGCCCGCAATCTAATGTTACTATATGAATGTCCAAATCAGTGTACAACATATTCAGCATTTTTTCTATAAGCATCAAATGTATGCATTAAGGGTATCTTTCACATATTTATGATAATGCTTGCAACTAATGCCTTCTCATCAAGTATCCATCTCCAGTTGTCATTATTAACCTGTGTCTCTTTCTAAGGTCAGTAATATTCAAATGACCTTCATCATGACTAATTGACCTTTCTTTCTTTCTACTTAGTCAGATGCCCATTAAGGAACCTCTATTATTTTTGAGAACACCATCTAATAAATGGTAAATCCAAGACACGATATTTGTCAATTTGTTGTCATATACGAACTTAAGGTACCATATTTCAACTAGAAACCTATGCTGCAATATTTAAAGCAGAAAATGCATGCCCAAGGCAAAATTAATGTTCAAGGAATATAAAATATGCAGGTATAGGACCTGATCAATAACAGCAAGTGTTCTGCCAGCTACAATTGGGATGAATTTCTTATCCAGCTGTTGCAGAACCTTGGCATCTCTGAGACAATTCTTATTGATAGATTCAGGAACCAATGATTTAGTGGCAACATAGGGCAATCCGGATGCAATGTCAAGTACATTATATTCATTGTCAATATCACATAATTTGCTGTTGCTCTGCATTAATTTAACGGTAAATATTATTGACCACTAGTGAATATATCTAGAGCTGAAAATTCATAAGCAGCAAATATAATTGATTAAAATTGCAAAAATACCCAACTGTATTCTGTGCAAAACCACTCCGCCATTTGGTTCCAGAATTTGCTGGATCCCGATTTCCCTTTGAGATAAATACTGAAGTACGTAAAAAAATAAAAAGTAAGGGCTCTTAATCTGTTAAGCAGTACTTAAAATTTTTCCTTGTTTGGAAACAAAAGAAAAAAGGAATTCTGCATTCCATGTCTATCAAATCTATTAAGATGTTGTTAAACTCTCATCCTCTTCAAGTTCACACACTACAGAATCAATATCAATTTTGTCATAAGATCTTAAACTCAAATAAATGTATAACTTCTACCAAAAGAACAGAATTACCTTGCACCGGAACAGATTCAGGACCCTCTAGGCAATGAGGTTGTTCAATGTCTTCACATTTTCGAACTACAGTGCTGAACACCATGTTTGTCTTGTTATTCATATTCGATCTGCAGCAAGCCAAAATAAGAATATTGATTCAACCAATAAAAAAAGTGAAAAAAAAATTAAGTTTCAGCAACATTTTCTGTAAGGAGATACAAAATTTGCAGTACCTAGTCTTTCCAAAACTTGGTTCAAAACACAAATTGTCCACACCAGAAGATTGTTGGGGAGGCTTCTTCTCACCAATCTCTGCAAAATGCAGACATTAATTATGCTACATTATTAGGCCAGTCCTTTGAACTGAAATGTACATCATGAAAAACACCTGGAGAAGTGAACGGACCACGGACTTCACTAAAAGTGGGTTCCTCTGTTGCCAAACAATGATGTAAGGAGATAAACCTCCTCTTGTAGCTGTAAAATGGAGGAGCTGACTGGCTTCTTCTTGATCTTTCTTTAGGAACAGGATTTTGTTCAACATCTTGATATTGAAACCAATTACTTTGACTTCTATATTCATTAATACTTAAGTCTGTACACAACCAGTCTCTCTCTTCAATTGCTACATTGGAATCATCTGGAGAAAATGTACGATTTAGATTGTATTGTTGAAGGAATCCACGAAAATCTCTACTAGATTTGGCATAGTCAATTTCTAGTCCAGTGTTTGGGCAATCAGGGATGCATTTTTCTTGGCTGGAGCTCCTTGAGATTAGGTCAAAACTAAATTGGTTGTCCTCATCTTCACCAGCAGAGAAATGCCCAAAGTTGGTCCTTTCTTCAGATCTGAAGCACCCTTCAATTGCATTTTTATAACTGAACTGCTCAAAGGGATTAAAGGTTACTGAACACCATTCAGAACTTAAGGACTGATGACCAGAGCCAGCTTTTTCTATTGGTGTGACTGAATCAGATGGAAGGCCATTCTCTTCAATAGGGACATCTCCACACGACAGGAACGATTTGGCAGAAGCTCTTGTTAGAACATCCAAATCTCTAGCAATCCCACCTTTACTTACAAGTTTGGGATAAATTTGACTGCATGATCCTCCATCCTGCCACATGGTCCAATCACTGGAATCAGTTTTCAGCATATTGAACCTTTCATTTGAGCAAACCTGCTTCACTTTGGTCTTAAAGCTATCCATCGGTGGTTCAATTCCTTTCTCATTTTCAACCAACTCCCTGTCAAGTGGCACGGTTCTTTGGGAGGAGCAACTTTGCAGAAAAGGCTTGCTGATATTCTTTCTAAACTGTGAGTCATTGAAATGTTCATGATAATCAAAAGGAAGTACGCTCCTATCTGTTCCATTGGTCACATCACTCTCAACCATATCGGATGCATTGCCTAACTTTGAACATATACCATTGTTGTTCACATAACAGTTCGATCTTCCTGAAGCAGTGAATCTATTTTCCAAGAAGTAATCCTCAACTAAAGAACTGTTATCAGATGTCAAAAGACAACAATCACTCCTTTCAAATACTGAGGATGTGCCTTTGACAAGGGAATCATCCCAACTTTGAAAAGAATAGTCAGTCCAATGAACAAATTTCATATTGTTTTGTTGATCTCTAAATTGTGCATTATTCCCATGGCACTCCTCAAATGGAATATCTTCATGGTCTGTAAGAAACAAATGATCTGTTGTTAGCTTCTCTAATGAAGTAGAAGGCTGATATTTTTGAGTCCTACATTTCCTTGTTGCAAATTCTGAGTCCACAGATGGTCCTTCATTAAAAAAATCTGCAGAAGAAAAGTAATATCATAAATGAAGCATAACAGAGATAGCATGCAAAAGACAATAACTTCATGCAAGAGCATAATTGGATATGTTCAGTCACATCAATGTCTCAAAAGAAGACGTTTGGAAAATAAAATATTGAAGGACACCTTCTTCCGCATGTAAGATATTGTCATCTTCCTTCAAAGTTTCAGCTTGTCCTAATCCATTGGCTGCATGATTAAAGGATTTGACAAGAAACAGATTAAGAATTGATAACAGGTCATATAATGATAATAATCAGTTTTTGTGCCTGAGAGTGTACCACTATGAATATTTTTCCTCCTGAGGAGCTGAATTGTCTTCTCAATAAAGGCAAGTATAGATGCCCAATCCTGGCAGGACAGCAACAAACAAAAGAAGGGTGAGATAATTCGTTGCCGAATTAACAACTTTCCAAAGTTCCTAATAGTCCAATATGTCATTTTACCATAAAAAGGCTAAAATAACGTCATCACTGAATTAAATATGTGGAAAGTATGGGATTAAATAAATGAGCTTTTAAAGGCAACTACACAATTAATAATACTCAATCCAATAATAAGAGCAAAATGCTATTCTACATAATGAAATCATATAGTATGCCCAAAGAAAACAGGTAAAGTATGTCTAATTTAAGTGCAGAGTCCCTTACCGTACACCATGTAATCTACTACAGAAAGCGGTTAAGAGTATTTTGTCCATATTTTAACACATCAAAAACATGCAATCACTAGTTTGTTCTGAAGTCATGAAAGGGTTTAAAGTAGCCTTCAAATGGTTTGAACAAACATGATTTTGATTGAATGCAATGCAAGGTTCCTCCCTTAAAACAAAATGCTTTTAGTATTAAGTCACACAGACAATGCAAACTAAATTACAGTTCATAATTAGACTGAATATTACCTTGAATTCAACACATGTCTTTGATGGTTCAAAGGTTAAATCATAGAAAGAAGGAGGGCAACTTATATTTAGTATGTAGGATGGAAATACTTGAGGTCTACTCCTTTTTCCTTTCTTGGTCCAGTTATTAGCCTTCTCTGGATCTAAAGACTCAAAACTAGTGGCCAAGTTGTTCAGCAACTTATGAATGGGACCCTTGCAGACAAACCTCGAATTGATATCTGACATTGTGAAGGTCCAAACCACATTCATGATATGCAATATCTATATATTGACTAACCCACCATTGGCATCAGATATTCAGTGGATACAAACATATTGAAAGGCCTGCCAGAAAAGAACAGAATATTAAAAGAATGGATCTATAAGAATAAAATTAAGAAGATACTTATTTAGTTAATCAAAATAATTATTCTACCTTAACAGCAAAATTGTCACAGGAGCCAGTTATGTAGCCAGAAAGCTTAAGGGAACCATCATTAGCATTCAGCTTCTGCAGAGAGGCACAGTCCTCAATCCCAAAAGCACTCATTAAAAGTGACAAAGGAGAAGAGGAAGGATGCGTACTGAGAAGCTCATCCTCACTTAATTCAACAAATAAATAAAGTTAAAAATAGAAAAAGAATAGAAGTGATGGAGCTCCAACTGAGAAATTTGACAAGAAGATACCTTTCAATATCAATCACATTGAAGTAAACAATTGGGTGCACAAGGGCAATTCGGAATACACACTTTTTAACTGAGTGCAACACCTTCTTAGGGCTTCAAATTCAGCAGTACAAGTCACAGGCACACCAATTCAGAGCAGAGCACGTGTACAATAATCATTTAACAAGGAGCAACCAAGACTATCTTCACAAACTATAATATAATTATAAAGGAAACCAGGAAATGGAGATTGAAAAGACAAACCTGGATTGCATATGCTTCTTCCGAACAGGTTGGTTGTAAAATAAATCACGCACAACAACTGCATGGAATCAAGACATTAGTCAATGAAGAAAAGAAAAATAGGAAGAATAATAGCGAGTCTTTTTCAGTTTGTTGGGGGGAGGGAGGATAAAAGGGGAAAATCCTATTCATGCTGTTGTAAATAATATGTAAATAATTTGTTAGTTAGGTAAGTTGTAAATAATTCATGCTGTTGTATGAGGTTGATCACAACTACTAGAAGGAGCTTTACCGTTCTCGATTCTACCAATATTCAAATAGGTGAGATTTTAAGTGCTTTTGCACCCATCAGAGTTATCTCCTAATACTTAGGATTCCCTAAATGATCTTTTATTTGTTTTATAACTTCAAAGCTAGAATCATTTCTGCTCTCTTAGGGCCACAATCAAAAGCTGAGAAAGTAAGGCAAACACATCTCTCTGGTGCACAGAAGATTTCAACATTAAAAGGCATGAATAAGTCTTTGAGCAAAGCAACAATCCTTATGTGCCAACAAAAGCAGACACCAGAAGAAGGTCTTACCTGTTGTACCTGCATCTTTCCTATCATCATCAATTCCAAGATACAAACACTTGGATCCCTGCACAGACAAGAACCAAGGAAAAGATAATTGCAATCCAAATTGAAATGAATAGCAAAAAAAAAAAAAATGCATTTTCTCACAAACTAGTCACTGTAAATACCTTAATGACCTTGCGGTAACCATTTGGCTTTCCGTGAGCTTTTGTTATTATTTCCACCAAAGCTACATCAGATATAGAAGCCAGTGCTTCTCCCCGAAAGCCAAAGCTCCTGCTGGCAGCATCCAAATTACCCAGATGGTAAAGCTTTGATGTTACTGCCAATGCATGATAAATTTTGAGTTTGTGAGGAAGCAAATTCATATCCATCTGGGAAAATATAGGAAATAAAAGGGAAAAATAGAAAAGTGTATTACACAACTGACCATATCTTTCTCCCAGTGACACCAATCCATCACGAGATATACCAGATCCTGAAAGCATATAAGAAAGGCAAATTAAGCAAGACAAGTGGATGTGATACTCTGTTCAAACTTTCAAAAAGGAAAGGCATAAAAGTGGTTACCATCATCCACCACTTTGACATAGCTGCTCCCGACACTTACAAAGACTGACACCTGAAACAATTAAAGAAACCGCCACTCTTAACATACATTCCTCATTTAAGTGCAAATCTCGTGGATTGTTTATCAGTTATTTTCGGAAAATTAATCACCTTTGAAGCAGAAGCATCGAGGCTGTTGAAAATGAGCTCCTCCACAACCCTAGTCAAGTCAAACAATATAATGGCAGAACGCACCGAACTACGAACAGCCTCTGGCAAGGGCTTAATGCTCCCCATACTGTACGCTATCAAATCAATCCTAAAAATTTCTATTTTTTTCCCCAAAACCGTTCCGCATTAAATTCAAAAAAGAAGAGCGCCTCACGAATCCTAAAAGAAAAAAAACAATAGCCGGCTCGAGGAATTGCCAATCAAGGTCCTATTAAAGAAAGGAAAAAAAAAACCTGTTCCGTTTGATTGCCGAGAAAAAAGAAACAACTCTGGAGAAATGTCGTTAGGGTTTAAGGATTCGCGGCCGTCGGCCGGAGCCTGGGCAGGATAATTGCTATCGTGCGCGGGAAGAGTGAAGCCGTTAAAATTGTTTTAAGCACAAAGTCACCAGGGTGACGTGGCAATATATGGTAAGCGGGTGGCAGGCAATGATTCGGATCACTCGTGCGGAGAGTTTTCAGTTTGGTCGTGGCCGACACGTGTAAAAAGCATTTATACATGATAAATATAAAAATACACTGCCGTCAGGATTCCTCTTTGGGGCCTCGGTGCTTTCCCTATTTACGAAATTACCCGGGGGAAAATAAGGAGTGTTTCCTTAAAACCGCGACTAGGAGTAGGCGATTTTTCCCTTGGAAAGAAGTGGAATGACCTGATCTGATGGATAAACAATCTGAAATTCCTGCGGGAAAGACGGAGTACGAGTTTTGGAAAAGCCACTTACAATGGAGGAAGAGGATGGTAAGAAGAAGTAGTTAGTCGTATTTTGCCAGTGATGCGCAATTGGCAATATCGTAAATAGAGAAGAAGAACAGGGACAGCAGGAAGAAAACAGATTTGGCCCTGTGCCCTTGGCAAGGAAAGATAAAAGGAAAAGAAAGAAATTTAGGAAATGAGGTAGTAAAACTGGTGGAAAATTCTGTCTGACATTATTAATAGTAAGTAGTAGTAGTAAATGGTAGTACAATATATTAACACAAAGCAACACCTTCGGGTTTTTCCTCCCCTACCCTGGATTTCTTCCCCACCCCTCTCTCTCTCTCATCTCCAAATCAAAACTAACACAAATATATTGAAAAATAAAACGAAAGAACCCTAATTTCCTTCTTCTAAACTCTCCCTTTCTCTCTTTCCTTGTGACACCAGCCAACCAACCAACCCCCCGGATAAATGATCAGGTATTGAATCAAAATTCAACCTTTTTAACTCAACTCTGTTTTCGTTTGCATAACGCAATTTGATTGAAATCAGGCTTCTGCTTTGCACTCCCGCTTGACGTTACGTTAGCCTTGATATAATTCTCTCCTCTCCTTTTATGACTCTACGCGAGATTTTCCATCGTTTTGATCGCTTTCATCTTGCAATTTTGTTGCTTTCGTTTTGTTTGGATGGTACCGTCTGTTCCAACGAAATCTTCAGCTTGGGTATCTTGTTTGCCTTTCTTCATCATCATTTGTTGACTTTCTATTGTTATTCATTGGTTTTACGGAGGTTCTGATTTTACAGAATCTGTAGGGTTTTCAAATTTTCTTTCTTTATGCCATTGGCAGCTAATGAAACATATTTCAATTCCGATTTATCTTTTAGAACAGGTTGAATTTCCTCCTACTTCTTAAATCTATACGCTTCTCTGAATTTGCTGTGCTTTCTGACTAGTTTTTTTATTATTATGATTCTTATCATTTTGCCAGAGAATTCAGATTCTTCTCTGGGTTCTGTTTGCCATTTAACACTGAATCTATGGTTATTGATGTTTTAGAGTGGTAGCGATTGGAGCGGTTGGATTATCCATGTAGAGAATTACCTATCATTTGGTGTTTAAGATTTTAATAAATTGGAAGAGGAATGATGGAGGCTAACATTTGTGATATCAATCACTTGGATGCCGATGTCCTTCTGCCTCCTCGGAAGCGCCTGCTGGCTGGATTCAAGAAACAGGCTTCAAACGCCAATGGTTCTTCAGATCAGCCTACAGTTGCTTCTTCTTCTTCATCTCTTCCTTCACCCTCACCCTCACCTTCACCTTCTACTTCTTCAAGCGATGTTAATACCCATCTTAATAATTTATTGAGTTCTCATATCAATAACCCGAATCTCTCTCCGGAGGAGATTTTGGAGGCCTCGAGAGCAGCAGCAATTGCTGCTGCTAAGGCTGCAGAGGCTGCTAGAGCTGCTGCAGAGGAGAAGGCTGCAATTGCAGCTAAAGCTGTCGCTGCAGCTAAGAGTGCTTTGGACTTGGTAGCAGCGTTATCTGAAGAAACAGTTAGTAAGGACAGATACCTAAAAAAGAATAAGCTCAAGAAGCATGTTCCAGTTCAACTCTTATACAAAAAACACCAACCAATCGAGAATAATAGGACTGATGAGGAGTTAGCCCATAGACTGCACCGAGCAATCAACAGTTCTCCAAGAATCTTGAAGAATTCACCAACTTCTGAATGGAAAGGTCATAGACATAAAAGGCCTAAGAGCTTGCCAACTCTTGAGAAAACTAAGATTTACAATGGGGGTATAGTATTGGGAGGAAGCCCGTCTTCTGCATGCAATGGAGATGCTGTAGCAGGCAAAATTGACTCTGAGGACTCCATCCAGGAGTCAGTTAAAGCAGAAGCAAAGGGAACCAAATATGAAAAATCTGGGCAATCGGAGTTGGATAATGGTGAAGCAGAATCAAATCATTCAAAGGAAAAGGCTTGTGAAGATGTGTATTCCCCTGGTAAAAAGAGGGGAAGAGTTAAGCTAAAGAAGTTGCCCTTAAGCATTTGTTCCTTTAGGGATCGAGTGAATCCCAAGGAAGAGATGATTACTAAGAGCTCTCCATTGACGGAAAAGAACATGGGTAATCCGACTGCTGCTGTTAAGCCCTTGTTTTCTCTGGAGGCCTCCACTGATGGTGTTATTTCAATTGAAGGTACACCTATTTGGAAATGCCAGGATTACAAGGCCCCTGCATGTATCAAACAAAACAAAGTCATGCAATCATAATGTTCAAATCCTGTTCTTATAGCAGGTGGTTTCAATGATAGAAGTTAATCTGAGGTAGGTTTCGTGATTCTCTTTTTATAGGAATGACTTTACTTCATTTATCTTTTTGCTCATCTCTGGTTTTGTAACGAAGTTGAATTGACAGAATGTATATTTGAATGTTCAATTGCTTGCCTCTACACTTTACTAATAGTGCTTGCTGCATAAAATGAAGTTCAGATAAAGAGGAATGCAATAAATTTAGATGGTTCCTTTTTAATTTTTTGCTTATTCATCCTGCTTTCTGGGATGATGCTAGATGTATTAAAACTTTAATGCTGTTGGTATTGTTTCTTAGTAGCTGATTCATTACAGTTCTCCGTTATCTATTTCCTTTTTTTGGTTTTTCTCATTTATTTTAAATTATCGCTGTATGAAATTCCTTATTGTTGCTTATTAGATGCACTAGTGATGGATACAGAAACAATTTCGTAATCTAATGAGTTTAATGAAGGATATCCTTGAAGCGGATGTTGCTCAAAAATAGAGACACCATAGCAATCGATCACCTAGCAAGGGTGTCTCTTTCGCCTTTTTTTTATGAAAATCAATAGTCTCTTTAACTTCTAATGATAGTTCTTCAACAAAGGATTTGCCTTTTTGCTCACTATCTTGCTGTAATTTAATGAATTGAGAAATCTTTGTCTTGGGTTCATCTTGGACATGCTGACCTTTGCTGAACCGTAGCAATGTGATGCTTCTTTTCTGTGATTGGTTTTGTTCAGAGATAGAAGTGCTTGTCAGTTAACGGCATGCACGCGACTGCTTCAGGCCATGCCTTGATTGTGAAATGTTTTAAGTTTTAACAAAATTGCCGAAGTATATATGCTTAGGAGTTTTCTCTATAGGTAGAGATAGAGAAGAAGTCCTTCAATTATGTGTAGGTCTCTTAATAGTTGAATGCAATACATAAACTCAATGATTTAAGCAAGTTTGCACTGGAGAAGACTCTGGCTCCGTCTTGAGACTCCTCCATCCCGAGACGGAGAATAGCAGACGGACGTTGTTATCACACTTAAGTGGCTGGCTAAAGTCTTAACATTTTCTTGACTTCACATGTTATCTGTGCTCGGGCTTCCAGCTGGAGCAAGTAGGTTGATCTGCAATGCCACCTTTGCATTGTATCTTCTCTGGATTATTTTCATATACCGTACTTGCTGAATCTAGCCTAGTCTAGTCTAGTAATTAATTTAAGCACTGCTGCATCGGGATCTCCGAGTTTTGGCACAGACATTCAAAAGTAGATGTATAATAGTCAAATGGCAGAAACACAGAGTATGCGTGTCAGTGTTTCTATGCTGATAAATTTATGAGTCAGAACCTAATCGGACTAAACCCAAAGTTTGAAAAACTATCGTTCACATGTTATGTTTAAGAACCACCTGTGATCGTGTGCAGCGCAAGGAAACGTTTGACATTGTGATTGAGTATAGGGTGCAAGAAACTCGATTGCCCTGTTCCTGATTCCTAAGGGTAAATCTGGAAACCCGAAAAAGAAAAAGAGTTGTGTGTGAATTTTAATCTCAATCCAATCTGCAAGGATTTGGAAAAAATGTTGATTTGAACTCGAGCTGCCTGCGTTTTATCACAAATTGTTAGAGAAGAAGGGCGTGTTCCGCTTCTCGGTTATCCGTCAATTTTTGATGTTTTATGACTGGTCCAGTCCCGCCTATCAGCTGACCAAATCCAATGCGCAAGGAAGACAATCGCCCAAGCCAAGCAAAATGAAACCTTCTGTTTAAAAAGAGGCGAGAGCATAGAGTAGTAAACCAAACGCAGTCTCAGGGTCAGGGTTTATTCAGGACATGCATTGCTCTTTTCCCCTGCACTATATGCTTTCTTCTCCCTTGGCTCCTAGTCCTAGGCATTGAGGCCCAACCCTCCGAGGAGCAGTGCAGAAGAATATGATGACCTGAAATGAGTTCCAAAACGTTATTCCAACGAGTAACGGGAACTCGAACTCGATTCGCTACACTGTTTTTTCTTCTGAAGAAACGACCAAATTCAACTCACTAGGCCCACCACGGGTAGTTCTCTTCAGCCGCACCAGCCGTCCCATTGAAAGTTAGTGAGAGACTCCCAAGTCCAATCCATTCCGTATGTAAATAAATAGCATTTAGTATTTGGACCTTGCTATTTGCTATCAAATAGGAACGCCAGTGACAACTAAACCAATGGAAGAGCACCAATGGACTGGACCTACTTTGCTACTTGTAAATGTAATGCGTCACGTCAAATATTTTTAAAAATAAATAAAATGTTGCATGTCCGATAATCAAAAAATTTACAAACATAAATATTGTATGTCTTATCAAATTAATTTTTTTTTAAAAAAATAATTTTATAATAAAATAATATTAAAATAAACGATTTGATTCACATTAAGTATTTTCAAAGGAAAAGTACTTAAGGTAAAGTAGCTGAATGCAACAAAAACAATATCATATTAAGTATTTTAAAAAAGATGAATACAATATTTCAATCTCATATTAAGTAAGATGTTATTACATTTTGAGAAAGGATAATTGTCATGTGACACTGTACATGACAACAAAACTGCAAAAATGATGTTGAGACGCCCTTAGAAGTCACGAGCTCAATAGGCGACTTAGTGTTTTTAAGTAGGTACCAACCCTTTCTACTTTCTACTACAAAGCATTCACCCAAGTTGATCTTCAAGATCTTTCTACGTGACACGATGACACACAGAAAGGATTCAAAGCTTTCGGCAGACTAGCAGGACCTTCACCCTTTCTTGATTACGGAGTTGCTGTTAATCATGATTTGTAAGCATTGATTAAAAGTGTACAGAAAACACATTATGTAACACAAGTGCGACCGGTTTCTGTCATCGTAGTTAAAACTCCCTCGCCCACGTCATTCCCTCACAAATAGTTATTACTTTACATTTAGTTAATCATTAATCAAAAAATAAATCTTATTAGAAATGTCACAAGCCAAAAGGAAAAAAAAAAATAGAACACAATCAATACTCGTACAGGTGGAGGGAGGGTCATGAAAATGATGTGGCTGGGCCGACATCTTTAATCCCTTTCTTCATTTGCCCACCTTAAATCTGAAGGTTGCGCATTCCAACATCCACGTTAGATTGACCTTGCATCTCATTCTGACCTGAGCTCCGGAGATTGAGCCATGGGTGTTGCAGACACTGCTGGGCAGTTGGTCGCTTCTCTGGTGAAAAATCGAGAAGAGGACAAAGAAACTCTGCAAACTCACGAGCGTCGCTCTCAGAGAATTTGTATTTCTCCACCAGCAATCGATCAAGTGGCCAGAACTTCAGCCTCCGAATCCTCTTCAGATCCCCATGCCTGTCAAAATAATCCTTTGATCGAGCTCCTCCAATGGCAATCTTCTCGCACAAGCATAAATGGGAAATGTGTATAAGAATAATTTTATGAATAGGAGAGGACATTAATACAGAAATAATTTTACCTTTCGAGGCATCTTTCCAAGAAGTTCCATCATGAGAGCTAGGTGATCCTGGAAACATTCCAATGAAAAACGTTATTCCTTTACTCTTTTGATTTACCATGTCATTGTCATTAGAAAAACACGCCATAAACATGACTAATCAAACAGATAGTTGGCATATACATAATAAATGCTAATCAAAGACGATAATTAACTCTCACTAAGACGTGCCTTTCTCAGAACCAAAACACACTTCACAGTTCGATTTGCCTTACATAAACACGAGGATTCACATGATGCAGGCCTGTGTTCTACTCAGCACATCTCTTTTTTCTTATTGTTTTTTTTTTCGTATGACAACCAGAAGAAAAGACAGAAAATGGAGACCATAACAACAGGATCAGAGGGGAAGGTGGACAATGGAGACCATAACAACAGGATCAGAGGGGAAGGTGGACATACTCTACGGTAATTGCACAACACATGTATAATGCCTAGATAAAATAGGTGAAGAACAAATATGATCCAGACCAGGCATCATCTCAGTAAAATATAACATGTCAAGAATGCCTTGGTTTCATCATTAGCTTTTCTCTGTTCCTATTTCCCAACAAATACCATGCAAAAATAGGACAATGATACGGCAGTCAGCATGAGGTGTAATGACATTCCAAAAGCATGATGCATAGAACAGTCCTACCTCATCATCACTAAATCCTTGTCCACTTTTAGGGGCAAACATCATGTCACCAGTAGCAAGCTCAAAGGCTGTGCAAGCAAATGACCACATATCAACAGAACAGGAGTACCCAGAACGAAGTACGACCTCAGGAGCCCTGTACTGTCTCGTTTGAATTTCTTCTGCAAATGGTTTGTCAGCCCAACATGCGTTTCCAAAGTCCACAACCTTGCACCTCACATCAATCCCATCTAAACATCTCGCAGATTTTGGGGCTTCTCCTCCTCCTCCCATTGAAGCTCTTCTCACAGATATATTAGCAACTGCTCTTCTTGCCCTCCTTTTCAATTTCTTCTCAATGATGTTCATGGTAGATCCACCATTTAGGGTGCCCCCCTCAGGCCTTTCAAGCGTTGGGGTAAGACCAGACCTAATTGGATCCTTGGTAGGATCAATGGTGGAAAAGAGAAGAATATTTTCAGGTTTTAGGTCAGTGTGGATTATACCAAGTTCCCTATGCAAGTAATCCAGACCCATCAAAATGCATTTGCAGATCTCCCTAACTTTATTCAATTCAATCCCTTTGTAACGGTTAAACCTGATTAATCGAAGTAAACTATCACCAAGAAATTCAAGGACCATGCAAAGATGTTGCCCATTTGGGCCAGTGTGCTTGAAGTGGTCAATCAGGCGCACTACACACTTGGAATTGGAGGGGTCACCATCAGCAATAGATGAAAGGACTTCAATCTCATGAAGGGCAGCTTGAGCAAATTGCTGTGCGCTTTTCTGAATCTTTAGAGCAACATATTTCTGATTTCAAAAAGAAAAAAAACACAGGTCATATAATACAATCATGCTAATCCAGAAAATTGGATTCAGGGTTGATGAGGAGAATGAAGAGAATACATGCAATACTACTTTTTGGAGAGATTTTGAAATTGCAAATATAGCAAAATTCTGAAAGTTGGTAAACGGAAGACTTTTATCATAAATAGAGGGATGCCCTTTCAAATGTTGTTGTTCCTTGGTTATGCAACAAATATATCCTCAATCATGAGGATCCCTTCTCAGGGAAGTAAAAATCCAATAATATTAAGCGGAGAGGGTTACAAGAGAACAAGGTTTTGGCCCTATGTAAATAAAGCACTATTCAGATCAGGTTTTTTGTTTTATTGTAAGGTTTATTCCTTCACCCTGATTATCATTTCATATGATATTTTAGTATAGTGAAATATTCAGGCGGTGATCGCTGATCCCAGAAAAGAGGAAGAAGAAGTGAAACGGATGATGATGTCATATTACTGCTACAATGATTTTCTTCTTGTTAACAAAAATCTTCCTTAAAAAAGAAAGAGCTGAAAATAGAGAAAACGGGAATGGTTTCCGGAAAAGGGAATATAACGGTTAAACCGGAAGAATCCATGAGGAAGTATTAAAAAAAAAAAACCGACAGCTACATCAGTTCAAGACAAGAAAGAATGTGTAATTGAATTAAAAAGCGAAGATCTCAAGCAATTTAAGCATCAGAATCAACAAAATTCTGCAAAATGAATGATAACAATAAACAGATCATAGCGCCGAGCGAAGCATGAATTGGAGTCAGAGATATGACCGTAAAAAGGTAAAGAAATTACAGATATGAAATGGAAAGAAGGGACTCACAGAGGATTGAGTATCGTAAGCGAGCCACACAGTGGAGAACTGACCCCATCCGAGCTTCCTCTGGGCGATGTAACGACCACCGGCGAACGGATCGCCGATCCTCACGGCATGATATCCTCCTTTCCTGTAAGAGTCGATTCCCTCATCATCTTCCTCCGAACCTGACGAAGACGAACACGACATCTCTACCCTCCGATTTGATCACACTTTTCGTCCTTGCTCAGTTTCTTATAATTGGATTTGATTTTGCAGATGTTCCCGTATGAATCAGGGAGACTGCTTTCGTTTTGTATTCCTCCCTGGGAGGTATGCCTCTCCTCTCTGTTTTAAGGAAAAGAAAATACCAATTAAAAAAGAAAAAAGAAAAGGAGAAGGGAGTTTCTAAGTTTCTCTTTTCTTTTAGGCTTCCCTTTGAGTGCTTTATATTTTAGGGAGGCTTGGAAGGGGAAGGGCGAAGGGGGAGGGGAGAGAGAAAAGAGCGTGCGCTGATTTGTGTGGCTTTGAATATCACAATGCAACAAGCGCCTCGCCACCTTTCTCTCTTTGTGGGCTTTAACTTTCAAAATTGCCCTTTTTAAAGGTACTTACCGGGACATCAGGAAATCGCGGTTTTACCCACCCTCCCTGTCTGCTACTAACCTTGCTATCATTTAAATAACAACATATTTCTTTATAAAAATATTAATCTCTCAACCAAAATACATTTAGATTTGGGAGGTTGGGCAATTTGCATTTGGGTTTACGGTAGGTGGACTGCACTCTTCACTTTCTCTATTTCTCTGACGACTTGTTTCATCTGCCACCCCCTCCCTTTTTGCTTTATCCAAATCTTCTTTTTTAATTCTCTTTTTTCTTTTTTTGGTCTTTTGGATCTCCAACAATAATTTCTATTTTCCGTTTCTACAAAACTTTATAACAAAAAGAAAAAAAAAAGTGAACCCCTCAGCTACATTCCTTAATTTGAAGTCATACATTATTTATTATTTAATTACATCAAAATTAAGGTATCGAGGCACGAAAAAATAGCTTTAATGTGACGACTCCATCTAAGTTTCATTGATTTAATAACTTTTAAGTTTAAATCACATGATTTTTAAAAGTGTAAATTATTAATGATTTATTTATTTTTTATATAGGTTTCAAGATATAATATCTAAAAATAAATAAATAAATTTTTATTATTTTATTATATCTAATTAAATTCTTGTATTTTTATTTTTGATGATTTAGGTTTTTATAATTAATAATTAATTAACTATAATTAATCAAAACATCACTTGTTATAATTTATATTGATATGTTATGATGGATAGTAACGTGACATGATTATATGATACGTTACACTTTTCACATCAACGTTATAAATATAAAATAACAAATAATATTTTAATTAATAACAATTAATCAATTATAAATCTTAAAAAAAAATTGACTTGAAATAAAAATATAAATATTTTGATTAAATGTCACAAAATTATAAAAAATTATTTAAAGTTTTTAAAAATAATTTAAGAATATTTTAAAATATTATACCAAAATTTAACAAATCACATTCATAAATCATAAAATAAAAAAACTTTGTTTTCAAGAAAAGAACCTAAGCAAAATTACCAACTTGGGTTTGTAGAAAGGAGGAGAAAAACCTTGAAGAAAATAATGAAAAAAAGTTGCATTGTTACTTGTGCTATTATTAGCATTGACCTTTTTCTTCTAATGATTATATGAGCGGAAGAATGAGATTTTGCTTTTAGATAAAAGGCACATATTTCATACGTCTGTGTAACCCAGGGCCAACATATATTTATTTTGCGGTGAATTGATAATCATACCCAATTTTGAATTCATTGCTTTAATTATTGGAAAAAAAAAATTATGAAGGATTTACCTTCCATGGATCTTGGTTTGCAAAACAATTTCATGGTAGAATGAAAATAAACTACTTGCGCCTAATTGAGAATACACATAGGAATGTAGCAATAGGCAATAGCACACCATTTGTATTACCATTAAAGTTGGTAACATTTGCTTTTTTTTATCAAATTTGCAGAGATATTAGAATTTATATTTGGCATCATCCCCAACGGCTCATCTTGAACCCACAAAGGGTTAGTACAACTTACAAGTCAATTAATCCTAAAACAAAAAAAAAAAGTGATTTTGGTGCACACAGTTAAATAGGGATTAAACTACCATTTTGTTTATTTTTTTTAAAAATTAGCATAAAGCGAAATATCGTATTATCGTAGCCGTATAAATCTTAAGGAG